TTAGGCGCGTAAAATTCACATGCGTACACACGTAAAAATAAGGCGACAGAGGAATTACCTTCAGTTTTGATGTTTGAAATAGGTTAAAACCAAACATACGTCGCAATTAAAATAAACCAAAATGAATGGCGAGGGTTACAAATATGGTAAGAATTTGCATAGTGAGCTTGAGTGAAATGATTAAAATCCAAAGCTACGGGGAACTAACTCAAATGATTACCAGTTTGAGTTATTTGATTATTATGACGTTAAAAAATAGTTAAAATAACTGCAATGAATGGCCAAAATACACTGATGGTCTTTTCCCCCGTCGCCAAAACAAACAAAATTGAAGACCTGTAGGAAAATTAACGTTCAAGACTAGAAGAGGAAGGGGACACAGAAAAACGGGACTCTTCACAGACGGTTTGCCAAGAGATTTTAAGATCGGATGAAAATTTTTCAAGATCCCGAAACGTTTTTTTGATATCATTCCCTAGCCCTAGTTACAGGCCAGGCTAAGCGCGCGAAAGTTCCATTTCAATGATTGGTTGACTTAACCAAGACTGGACGAGGGTATAAAATAGTCTCCATTTATTTTGTGCAAAGGGCAGCGAAGCTTGAAGTTTATTTTTGGGCTGATTGGCCGGACATAGAGATTTGTTTACTTTCCTTTTTTATCGTCGAAAGAATATAGACAGCTAAGTTTTGTTTAAATGTCAAAGGCTACTGTTTGCCAGGGAAAGCTTTCTTGTGGCGTCCGGATAATCGTTATTCAATAGTCTTGCCAGCCTTATTGGTTCACTTGAAAAAAGGACAAGTGACTCTAGTTTGCGTTACGAAGGCCGTAAATCATGATTAGAAATCAGTTCACTTTAGTGGTCATTATTTTCTTTCCCCTCATGGGAATTATTTGCATGTTGATTTTCTTTTTGAAGTGCGTCAAAAAGACAAGTATTTCTATGTCATGCAAATAAGTAACAACCTGCGTTTTGTTGATCTGGTATCTTAGCAGTTTTTTCCCTTGAGCTCTTCGTGTGAATTAAGCGATCCGCATGCAAGGGATAAGAGAAGCACTTATCTCATTAGTCTTCGCTACCACACATAGTCGCGAGTTGATCGGAGAACCTCTGTTGACATGATGCGGCTCTTTTAAGAAAACGACAAAGTATCTGGTCATCGCCAGGGACAACGTGGTCGAGTTCTGCCGTTTGCCCAACAAGGCAGAATACTGAAATAAAGAATAGTTTCAAGGTTGTAGGAATGAAGGACTAAGACTAAGATCAAGTGAGTGGCGAGAAATGAAGGAGGCCGACACTGAGGTAAGAGTGATCTTGAGTGCAATTGTTAGTGGAATTGGCATTCACCGCCTACATCGTCACACTTTGGGACTTCTCTATGCTATGGCGGCCTTTTCACAAATTTTAAATTTTCATGGTTTGCTGGGCTTGAACCGGTGTTCAAAGGCCACCTGCAGTCTCAGTCTTTTTTCGTTTACTTCCGTATGATAACGCACCAGCGCGCCGTTTCAAGTACATTTCCAAAAGTAGATGCGTTCCTTGTCAACTCGGTGTGTGAAATTTGATTATATTTTGATACTGACCAACTACTAAATCATTATCCAGCTAGTCTGTCCATGTTAGCGACTATTAATCCCCTCGGAACAAACTGTTATCGTATAATCTCATTTGTCAGTTTCGTTCTGTTAAGCTGTTTGTGATTTCGCTTCAGTTTTGGCCAAGGTTTTCGGTTTTTCTGAGTTTCTTGCCCAATATCACGCTGTATCACCATACGAGATGATCAGAAAACGCTTTCTGTAAGACTGAAAGAACTTTCTAAATAAGATCTAATGAGCAGCAGCCGTAATTTTCTCTGGTATTGCTGAATCCTACATAGTTCGTGCAAACAGGGGTCAATAAATTTTTCATCAAGTCCCCTCTGTTAACTATAGAATCGCTTACTAATTTCCTCATCGCTATATTATCGTTAGTTATTCTTTTATGATAGTTCACATTTGGCAATTGAAATGATTGTTTGTTTTGGAGTAATAAAATCTGTGAAATCTCGTTTGAGACAAGTAGATTACACTAAGGTGACGAGATTCAGAAAAATTCATATTTGGACAGATGTCAACGTATTAAGCAAAGGAGGACTTTGTTGACCCTCCTGACCAATAATTAAGGCGTATCCGTCTGAAGAACACATGTAATTAATGCTTTATATTTTGTTTTTAAAATCACTCCACTTAAAAGCTGATTCATTTCCTTCAATCTTAAAATGATGCACGCTGATTGGTCGAAAATGGTACTAATTTAAAGCCACAACTCGACCAGCAACTCGGTGGGATTAGAACGGCTACTACTCAGTGGCGCAACTGCTGTAGTTCGTATCTTACAGCCTTTACTCTTCACTCGTTCTAAAACTAAATATCGCGTTTTCTTATTATGAGAATTCACTACTTTCACATCAACCATAATACACTTTGTTTACCCCCCAAAATTTTGCATAGGTATTGCTTTCAAGTTCTCCTTGGGGGGTGGAAAATCCCTAGAGAAATTAGAAACAATCATTTGGAAAAACTTTTGGGGGGTTAACAAAATTGAAGGTGTATTATGGGAATGTGAAAGTAGGGAATACGCAAATCTGGGTGCACTTCTATAATCTCTTTATTAGTTACTGTTTCTGGCTTCTTTCTGAATAATCACCGGTCGGTAGGATCGAAACTTTTCAAAAAAATAACTTCAAATGAACTTGGAATAACTTTAACTTGACCAGCATTTCCCACGGGCTCCCAATTCAAATTAATTAGAACAATTTAAAATTGCCTGCCGCACTTTTCAGTCAAAGATCATCTGTCTACAATGCCACTGCATCATAATTACCTTAATTCAGTCCATTAGTAAGCAACTGCAGTCGCACTGATTACAAGTTACAACAAAACACTGGATGAAAATAGGTTCATTTCACACGAATTGCCCTACCGATTGCCCTGTTCTGCCAGTATAAAAGTTGAGCTTTGGTGATTAGCCTTATAATTCATTCGCTAAAAAAGAGGATCATTCACTTTAAAAAACGAATGAAATTTTACAGGCAAAGCTAATAGACGTTGTAGAAGATTTAGCCGGAATGCAACAGTTTTGGAACTAGCCTTAAGCCGGGCGTATAAAACGAGAAGGGAGGGTGGGGGGAAAGACGAAGATCGAGCACGCGAAAACGCGAAAGGCGCCAGGTTCTTTGCCGTGAATTTTTGTTTCCTTTTTGTTTTGAACGCCTCTAATGCACGCTAGAGTAGGGGAGGGTTATGTAGATTTGGTAAGCGGAAACCTTGTATTGATCCCGAAATACAGGTATAATATGGCTCACACGCTTTTTATCATTTTTTTTTCCTTTTAAAACCGTAAATCCTCTATTAAGTCCCCCTCCCAAAGCTCCCTCCCTCTAATAAACCCCCCTCCCCCTCCCCTAATTATTCTTCACTAATAAATTATAGACTGTATTCACTGTGTGTCAATCAATCACGACTGTAAAACTTTCGTGTGGACCGATCCAAGATGGTTTATTTACTAACTGGAAGTTCGGATTTGATTCTGATCCTCGGCTGCATTATCTAAAGCTTCTTGTCCTTGAGCTTTTCCACTTTGTATTCTAGTTCTTTATGGCGAACTGATACCATCGTCGTTTCTAAATTAAATAAGTTCTTCCTCTCAAATAAGCGCCCCGTCTCTATTAAGCACGCCCCCCCCCCCCCTCAAGAACGCGGAAGCGGTAAAACAAACAGAGCTCGGAGTCACCGCACCAAATCTTCTCATCTCTTGGGCGGCTCTTCGTTTCATAAATAACGTAACTTTTACGATGAACTTAGAGAAGAGAATCGACACTAGCTGCTGAAAGACATCTAAGTTCCGTATTTTTTATATATTATTTTATTTTATTAATTTTCTTAAAAGACTTAAACCGGAGATCAGGGTTAGTTTCATTTTTAGACCTTTCCACTAAAAAAAGTCGTCAAGTTCGTTTTCCTCTTATTTAAAAAGGTCTGAAAAGCCCTGATATCAGTCGCATAAAACATGAAGTTTTACTTAAGATTTGAGGTTAGAAGATTTTAGGAGATCATAGCAATATCTAGATCAAAGCCAATGGGGAAGCAAGGGTGGCGCGTGCGTTCCATTTCGATCTGGAACTCACGGACACATTTTAACGAGTTCCAGTAAGAACTCCTAAGAGTTCAAGTTAGTTTCTGATAACGCCGAAATAAAATGACCGTTTGGAAGAACAAAAAAGAATAAGAATGTCTTGAATACAAAGAATACAATACATTAGTCATGAACAAAAGGCCCTGGATTTGACGTAATTGCGGCATTTTTCCTTCACTTAGTTTTTAATGAAATACTGTAGCCTCAGGGAAAATAACTACTTGAAATTGGGACACTGTATCTATTATCATCTACCGATGAAATTAACCACGACTTCAAACGAATTGACATGTTACCACTATCCCGGGTTTACAGTAGTTAAGTATAATTCATACCCATTGTTATTTGCATGCTTTCAGTATTTTTGTTAGCAACTTAACATGATTATGACGTTTTACAGGACAATTTTTTAACCGATGAAGTAAACGACCATAATTTCAGTTCATGTTACCATTTCCTTCCAAACTGCCTGACGGAACAGCTACTAGCTAGAGACTGTATGAGATGGTTACAGAACTTTAGTACACAGACGGAGTTTATACAATTTACTGAAAAAAGTTTTTCAATTTTTTATCTTGAATTAAACATTTAGCGACATGTTACTAATGCGACATGTTATTAATACTAATACTTTCATTTGAATGACTTGGACGTTTATTTTTGCAGGCTCATAAAGGAACTGTCTTGACACATCAAGTCCGGAAAACTGCCAGATTATCCCAAGCTAGTGTGATTAGCCACGCCAGCTACATCAGCAAGACAGGCCGAAGGAACAGCGACACGAGCAGTGTCCACAGTAAACTTGCCATAAAGAGCTTCTTTAAGGATATGTTACGCAAACTTTGTCCCGAGCGGCCTCGGTACTTCAATCGACCCTTAGACGACAAACATGGCGACAGCGACCAGGTATGTTTCTCCGCAAAGACGTACGTCCCTTAACGTAGACCTTTATCACGCGGTTACCATTTTGCATAAAAACAAAACAATTCGTTCGTTTGGCCTGCTGGCTTGAAAACCATAAGAACGAATTTAGAAGTGATAAGATAAAGTTTTTCGTTTTATTCTCCGTGAACTTAATATGTCCTATAACTGAAATTGTCACAGTGTGTAGGTTAGATACAGTACAGGTGTAACGGAAGTTTGTGATAGATTATCAACGTTTCAAAACAAGTCACTTTATAATTTTAAGCAATTAAGTCCTCGCGCCTAATATTATTGCAAAAATGATTTGTTATCAAACTGACAATTTTTTTAGTGTTAAAGTTTTAATTAATTCTTTAAACACGTATACCAGAAACTTATCGCCAATTTACCTTCCAATATGTTTTGGTGGATTTAAGACAACACCGTTTAAGATATTGTGCCGGTCCGTGATTTGTTAAATTACTTGACATGTTTCACGCAGAATGTCGATGCACACCAGTGGTGCGAGGCCAATTTGAGAGCTTTTATCTCAGTCATCAATGCAAATTGATCATCAGTCTCACCGAAGTTGACACGTATTCCACTAACGCGAAAACGTGAAATGTCAAGTTGTATTTAAATAAGTAAGTAAACACTAACACAAACTAAAAATTGTTTTATAAAGCAATCTTAAACTCCCTAAAAGTCCAGGTTGGCATATCCAATAAAAATTTCCATGAACTGATTATGGTAGGAAATTACAGTTTACAAGTATGAATTACGTAACCATGGTCTCAGGCACTAAGTGGTACCATGATAATTGTTGTATTAAACATTCTCAAAAACAAGGCTTTTTTAACTAATTAAAAATTTATGAAGAGTAACAAAGGAAATAAATAAAATTTGGCTTCCAAAGACAAGGCTAAAAACACGGAGAAGACAGATCAAGACAGGAACACTTCCGGACGCCAGTCTTCTTCAATTATGACCATCCCTGCCTTCCATTGTATTTTCTGCGTTGTTTATATATTCTTCTAATGTTTCGAGCGGTTATTTTCATGTTTCACTCGATCTGGCGGCAGTTGCCGATGTTTGAATTTTGATAAATTAACAGGTAATTTCCACGAAACAAAGTCTCAGACAAAAATAGTTGGGACACTTCCATCCAACACTGTTTTTTCGCTTCTGGCCTGTCTCCTCGTTCTCCCTATGTTGTTTATCGCAGTTAACTCAAATCTTGCACACCAACAATGGGAGGGCAAGAAGACATCAAAGTGTCCCTACAATGTTTGACCAAGGGTGCAGCTTTCTACTTTTCTACACGTCACCAACGTTTGCCCAGACTTTGCGCGGACAAGGAAGCAAGAGAAAGGCCTGGGGACTAAGGCTGTCTGCAAACATATGAATTATGAAACACTGAATAAAGTGCAACATAAAGGCCGAGCTTCGATGCTTTACATGTAACGAATTACAATACACACTGTGATATTATGCACACTGTTTCCAAATGTTACGAGTAATACCTACATCAACAAATAAGCAACTTGCAAATTGGATGAAGACGCTCTTGTTTGCTCCACAATTTATTTTGCATAACATGCCAAATTATCTCGTTTACATTTAAATTATTCTAAACATCTTTCTTGTGTAAGTTCACGGAGCTGCAGTTTGCGATAATGTCCACTAAAAAAAAAACTACAAAGTTGCAGTATAGTGTACTAAATATCACCTAATGGTTTTCATCCCTTATGTAGTTTTTTTTTTCTTTTTTGCTTATACTTATCAGTATGCGGTTAACCAAAGACATTTCTTCTTTAAAAACACACACCAGATATACACACAGAAAAACAAGACTTTTATGAAGAGCATAACAATACAATATTTAAAAAACATTATATATTTTTGTGGTCGAAAAGTGTTACAGACAAAACCGCGTTTTCATAGCAACGCGATCAACTTTGTCACCCTCGGTCTAAAAGCTTTCTACAAAGCCACAATTCGGTCAAATTGATATTTTGTGATAATCTTCACCGCTCTTTGCTTCTTTTTGAATGCTTCGAACAATACTTGTGAGAAAAATGTCTATTTTTGATGCCCCTATTCCTTTCAAAACGCGGGACACCATCTTCGAGCGATTACTAATTAACCTTAAAAATCCGCATTTGGAAGGCGTTTCTAGAAAACATGCGATTGGCCTGTTTCGCTGAATATTAATTATTCAGTTTTTCACACGGAAACCCCATCTCGAGCTTTTGTTTTTGTTCAAGTTATAAAAACGACTGGACACCTGGTAAAGTGATATGAAATAATCCTTGATCTTAGTGGATAAAAGATTGTTGTATGTCGAGCCGTCGTTTAACACGAAGCAATATGCATTTGGCTTTTTTTTACTTTTTCTCTGAAGGCGGTGGTTTCGATTCATAGCTGAACTACGCATGGAGGCATTTAATAATACATTTGCTTACTTCGTAGAAAAACTAAACTTCTCTGAGGTGAGTTGGGAAAGGATAAAACACGAGCTGTTTCACTTTTCTTTGAATATAAATTATTACTGATGACCGTAAAGGACAGGGAAGGCGATAGTTTCCATTTTAAATTGTCACTGACAAAGATTGATTCGAGAAGGCTTTTAGGCATTTTATACCGCCAAAAATTTTTTAAAAAATTCGTGATCGCATTGTTAATTTGCAATCTGAGAATCAGTCAGCTTCATGTTGAAATTCATCGGGGACTAATCTTCGAGAAAATATATCGCATCAGTCGTCTGAATCGGTTGTAGTTCATATTTGAAATTAGAAATTGATTATTAACAAATTAAAATTGATTTGCTGATAAAAATGAAGTTAAGCGTTTAGGTTTGTTGGTGTTCAGTATGCTGATAAAAGCAAATATAACTTGAGCCACTTATAATTTAACCAGGAATCATCACGGAAAGCAACATGGCATGAATTTCCGAGATTTTAACAAAACAGAAACTTCGTTAAGAAACATTCTTTTAATAGCCATCTAATGGCAGGGTTTAATACGTCAGTATGGCAAACGATCCTTCTGATTTCGTAAGTTTTCATATTTAATACTCCTGGTCAGACTGATAATTACGTCCATTTATTGATAATAATAAACTTTGTGTAAATCGATTTTTTTTTCTCTCTTCACACAATTCTAAACTGACCTATGTTGTCAAAACTGTGGCAGTTTTGGTGTTTAAACTGTCATATCATGGTCTAACTCAGGGCTATATATTATCAAGGCTAAAGTTATTATTGATAATTTTAAGTAAGGTTGCTAAATAAGAATGGGTATCATGAGGATAAATCGAACTCAATGTGCTTTTCGGAAGCGAAGATCTTGTTTGATTGACAGCAAACTTAGGGACTGTTTATATGAACTGAGCCAGCCCGGTTAGCCGAGTTGGTCCGCTTTGTACTGGTCTGACTTGGCTCAAGCCTTGTTTGCTTAAAAATTGTTGTTGTGTTTATATGAGAAGGAGGGCTGGCCCGCGTGGCGAGATATCTTGTGGCTACAGGCTGCTTGTAAGTATACTCAGCTTTTGAGCGAGTCGAGTACAAATGACCGGCTGCACGCACTGGAGTTTTATTAACATCTTCATAGAAGACAAGCCTATTTCGCATTTGATATAGCTGCACTGAGTATCTTCCATTTCTATCTTTATATATCGCATAAGAATTTACCCGTGGAAGTGTAAAAAAATATTTTACAATTAAAAAGTTATAATAATTTTAATCATCGTAAAACATGTAGTCAATTAAAGGAACCGGCCTTTACCAGAGGCACAAAATCTTAGCGGAAGTCCTGAGCTTTTTGAAAACTAACAGGGGCCAATATAGATCACAGAGCATATATCCAAAATCTCTTCCTGATTACCATGAAATTAAGGAAGATATAAATCTGTCTTGATTTTTCGAAAAACGATGTGGCTTTCTTCTAGCCTATGAATTTATTAATGCGATATTTGTCATTACATTGTAACTTCACTACAATAAATCCACTCATCTCAACTTTCCCTATTGAAAACAATTTGGCAGAACACCTGCTTAAAATCTTGGCTTGTCGAAAATAATGATTCCTAATTAATTCCACGAAAACCCTGCAGCAATTGAGCATGACTGACTTCCATATTATCGTCCGGTTTACCTTGACATTTGGCGACAGTTTTGAATATCAAGACTTTCCGGCCGATTATGTGGGAACAAAGCTTTAAGGACCATGTCAAAAATAAGAGGATTTCTTGTCGTTAATGTTAGCTTTCATGTTAAATAACCACATGAAATTTAGTCATCTTTGCTTGAAAAACATATGTTTTTCATTCTATGAGTAAATTCACTTTGGTTATTTAATGCACGGCACGTTAAATACACTCTTTACTTTAAAATTGCCATATCTGATGTTTAAATTTTGTCTTTCAGTTCTTTTTTTTATTTTATTTTTTCACGTACTTAGTTTTTTGTTTCTCCAGGACTTTAATTTAATCTAATGAACCATAAATTTTTGCTAGTCTCTAAATGGATATTTGCTAGCCTTGCTGCCAATTTATAAGAGGAGTGTATATCAAATCAGGCACAGGTAACCTAAGCTCGACACTTTTCGGTAGCCTCTCAAATGTAAGCATTCAGGGAAAAAAAACGATCCATTCTAAGGCCTCCCAAATTCTTTCCTACGTTTAGCCTTTAGAAGCAATCAATTTCCCCTAAACAAATCCTTACGTTTCGAAGGTAACCCAACAGTGTCGACGCTCATTTTTCGAGCTTGGGCTACCTGTGTAAGCTGCAAGAAGACTGTTCACAGTCCTCTATATTTCCGTGAGACCGCCGAGATCGAGAGTTAACGAGCGGCCATCTTTGTTTCAATTGTACCGAGGGGATGGGTGTCGGGGAGTTACAGCGGTAGGTGGAGAGAGGCGAGAAAAATGGCCTCTTCCCAAACCGTCCCGCGCCCCCTAAGTACATTTGACCCATCCCAGGCAAGACTCGATACATGTGAAACCAAGATGGCCGTCCGTAACGCAAGATCTCAGTCGTTCTTGACTTCTTACCGAAAAATAGAGGACTGTGAACAGTATAACGTGCAAGCTTCCACGGTTTTTTTCCTGCTGTTTATTTTCCAGTTACTCAGTCTCCTGTTTAGTGATGGCTACGACCAAGCCTTTAGCTCTTTTTCTGGAAAATAACTGCCATAGTATTTTATTTCCCGAACAGTGGCAGGCAATCGAGCCTATGCGCTGCAAAGATAAGTGTCAAACAATTAAATTAATCATCAGTCTTCCATACGTTGCACTAAAAAGGCGAGTCAAACCAGGCTTATTTGTTTGAGAGTTAGTCGAGTTTATGTAAATTTTCTTGTCGGTGCACAATGCACAGAATCGGGAGCCCATACCCCGTAGAGAGCAACTGCCATACTAGGCCTATGTCACATCGTTTTCACGGACCGGTTTCAGTATTTTTAGATACATTTTGGAGCACTTTGCCCCGCGAAAATGGAAGCTCCCACCCAGACTCCCTGGCGTCTTATGGGACGCGGTCGACGAAAAACTGAAAATTAACTTTGTTCTTTCATTATATTTTTCAGACGTTTATCGTGATTACAAGCCGTTTTGGAACACCCCATGTCCACCGCCTGAACAAAGCAAAGTCTCTGTATATATTTGGTCAAAACCACCCTGTTAGGAAATTTTCTTTGCATATAACAACAAATCAGTATCCTTTCATTTTACTTTTCCTCTGAATCGGAAACTCAAACAACATAACTTTTTCGCAAAAAAAGAGATGCATTTTAATTTTTTTAAAAAAAAGATATTACAATAATGGAGGTGCGGGGTTTCGAACCCCGGACCTCTCGCATGCAAAGCGAGCGCTCTACCATTGAGCTACACCCCCTGGTCTCTTCAAATGGGCGTGAAATATACAGACGGCTTTACGAGATTCAGGTACTAAATACTTTAAATAGAGCGTTTTCACGCACGTGGCCAGCATCTTTGCAAATATACTGGAACAAAAGAAAACGTTTACTTACGAAGAGAATTCAATTCCAGCCCCATATCCACGTACATGGCTGTCATTTCAAATATTGTTTTGGAACACCAGTATGGCCTACGTGACGTCATATGAAAGCTCTCCAAACAAAGATTTCTTTGTCTCATTTTATTGACAGTTTTTTGCCTCCTTTTAGAGTATTTGCTTTTTTAAAATATTTTACCTCCTGTGTGATTCTTTTGTTCCTTCTCTCTCATTTCATTTACTACCAAAGTTATTTTCCTTAACACTGATCCACAGATATTTTGAGATTTTTGTACTTTTAACAATTTTAGTAAACTGCGTTTTTCTAGCTCTGACGAATCCGCCGGAGGAACCCGAGTAAGTATTACTAAAGATTCCTGTATTGATTTTTTGCAGCGCATTCAAGACTACCTTAAAGAGGAAGGAAAACACCCCACAGACAAATATTTACGGGGGTACGGGGGTGGGAGCGCCCCGAGATAGCTTGCTCACAGGCTAATTAGGCTGCGTCTTGCACATCAACTGATGAAAGTTAAGCCCTGTGCAAACGGACGCAACATTGTTAGCCAACAACTCCCAACATTGTTGGATATTACATATTGCATCCGTTTGCACACCATGTTGGTCTCCAAAGTCTTATGGATTTCGTATCCTTCCCGCGATGCACTGCAGGTCCCAACATTGTAGGAAAGTTGTTAAATCCGTTTGCACACCACTGCCAACACGGACGCAACAACTTCCATCATTGTTGGGGCAACAAAGTTGGGGGTTATTGCGCCCGTTCGCATGTCTTTAAGATTCTTGTTAAAGAACCGGAGAGAAGGGACCTCACAGTTAAGCCTTCTTTAAAATCATGGACTGGATTTTATACGATTTTTAATCGTAAATTTTTTTTCCGTTCTTTTCAACAGATATGTATTTGCAGCAATTTATACTTTAGAAATGATTCTTAAAATAATTTCTAAAGGCTTTGCTCTCCACAAATATGCTTATTTGAGAGATCCTTGGAACTGGCTGGATTTCGTCGTTGTGATATTAGGGTAAGCTACCATGTGTTTGGTTTAAGTTCTTATCCCATTCTTTACCATAGTCTGGATCCAATAGGCCATTCACGAGTTTCGAAATGAGGTTAACTGGAAAGCCTTTCTTGTGATAATAAGTTTCATGCATTTGTATGAGAACACCCCTGATACTGTATGCGCAAACTCAGACACTAATTGCGAAAAAAAACGAGGGATCTTGCTGGTAGAGTTTTCTGAGTTTTGGTGTAAGCGCACACCGGTTTTGTTTCAGTTAGCCAAATCAAGGCGAGAAATCATTAAGGTTACAAATCATAAGCTAAACTTTACTACTTTAAAGAAATTTTTAAGCATGTGACACAACTTCTTTCCTTGTCAAAGGTATATAACCTTAGCTCCTGGAGTGTTAGCCAATCTTTCTGGAATCAGGACATTTCGTGTGTTTAGAGCTCTCCGTACAATATCAGCCGTTAAGGGTAAGTCCTTGAATATTTACAAAAAATAGTGAGGCTTTTTTGTTAAAAAAAATGAGGACGAGACGGGAAATAAATTCCCTTAGTAGAAGGCGCAAGCTTGTAAGGGGATCTGGGGGTATGCTCTCCTGGGGATTTTTTTTTTTATTTAAAGCCCCCTTAATTCCTGGGTCAGTCTGAGTCATTCAGACAGGTTAATGTCCAGTTACCTTCGCAGTCCTCGGATAAAGCCTTGCAAATTGGCGAATTATTTCATTATTGATTTCAACTTCAAAACTTTTTTAAAAATAAAAAAAATCATATTTATTATTAAAATCTGACCGAATTCTGTAAAACAATGGAAACCGGTGTGGATCCGCGCCTCCGTAGCTTTAGTATAATTATCTCAAAATTGGAGGTGCGGGGTTTCGAACCCCGGACCTTCCGCATGCAAAGCGGACGCTCTACCACTGAGCTACACCCCCCGCCTCGCATCTAAATGCTGGAAATTTGCGTATAGATCCTAAAATCTTAAATTTTCGCACACGTTGGGGATTTTCGTACAATTGTTGCTACGATTTTGGGCCCGAGTTCAGTTAGTCGTTGGTCGGTTTTTAGAAGTCATAACAACAAGAGAGTGTAGTGCAGATTGGAGAGACAAGATTCACACAAAGCTATCTTCTTACAGAGTTTCAAAAGCGTGTAATTATGACGTTTCTTCAATTATGCCAAGAACACTCGAATTTACTAAAAATACTGCTGTTTGAATGCTCTTCCCGGTGAAAGGCTTTGGAAATCTTTCAATTCAATCTATTTTAGTCTTTTGTACTCAGTCCCTTGCTCGTTACTAATGACAAATGGTAGCAATATATACTTACAAATTTGTTCTTTCAATAAGGTCAATAATTTGATTCCAGATTATTTTTCTTTTATTTCATTAGGTCTGAGGATGATGGTGAACACCCTTCTCGCTTCCATGAAGATGTTATGGGATGTGCTCATTCTCACAATGTTTTTTATTTGTATTTTTGCTCTTGTCGGGATGCAAGTTTTTGTTGGTGTGCTGAGAAATAAATGCGCTGAACCTGTACCGGACAACCTTCAAACATCATACATAGATTACGTGTCTAATTCTAGTGAGTGGCTTATGAGTAGACTACGTTTCCTTTTCATAGTTCCTTCAACTTTAGTAAATTTTTAAGTGTTACAGAATACGTACAATGAATTATTGCAGACAACAACAGTCCAAACTCCCCACATATGCATCACAGTCGGATGAGCATGAACGGTGCCCGAATCATTCATCGTTTCAAACACTGAACTATAGTAAAACCTATTCACGGTAATACCTTCTTACATAGCACTCGACAGCTGTTAACATAAATTTTAATTTAGGGGGGGAGGGGGAAGGGCTACACTGGAGTCACGAGCCACCCTCCTAAGATCTCCCGTTGTCCTTGTATGATTACAAGTTACTTCCCTTGGCTTACATGTAAATATTCTCTTCTTACTTTAGGTGTTTGGATACTCGACTATGAGCGTAATCCGGTGGTATGTGGAAATAACTCCGGGGCAGTGTAAGTTGATATATTAACAATATGTAGTAAAATGTAATGATTTAGTGGTATCGAATCCACAACGCGGTTCCGGGTCCAACTTGAATTTGCAAATGCTGGTTTTTGAGAGGAGGAGGGAAAAAAAGAGTTCCCGGAGAAAAAACTCTCGCAGCAGGAGCGGAAGGCAAGGCTTTAGAAACTTAACCACAGCGAAGCGATGGCATCGCTTCCGGCAGTTGAACCCGGTGCGGGCGACATTGCTGGAAGGTGAACGATCTTACGGCAACTGTGCTATCCCTTGCTCCCTTAAATAAACTAGTGGCAATCAAATTTTCGAGTGTTCTATCAGTTACTTAGATGTGCAGTCTCTATTCTAGTCTCGAGTTTCTCACATTAAGCGATCAACAGATTCGAGTAACAATCTTTAAATTTGTATTTCGCTCTGTATATATTTGTATCGAGCACTCCTACTCCTTAAAGAAAGCAAGGTACACATTACCTCTTTGTTTATTCTATTAAATCTATACAATCCTGCATATAAAATTTTATTGCAGGCATTGTGATGCAAATCATAGCTGCCTTCCCGACGCAGGGCCCAACCCAAATTTCGGATACACGAGTTTTGATCATTTCGGCTGGGCCATCATGACGTCATTCCAGCTAGTCACTTTGGACTTTTGGGAGAATGTGTATAATAATGTGAGTCACATGTATGATTTTATTTTCTCCGTTTCTGAAAACCACACAGATCCTTGTGAAGCTATGTGATTATGTACCGATACGTTCAGTCGTTACTGGGTTAAGTGTGGACGTAGCTTTCATGAGTTATTCGCTTATTTACTCTTAAAAAACCTGCCTCTGTTTTAGTAAGAGAAGAAAATGCTCATTAAGAAGTAAAGTATAAATAAAAGTGCCGTGTTTTAGTTTCTAAACGTTTCGGGCCTAGCCCTTCATCAGTGGAATTACAAGTATACTCTAGAACTGTCGCAACCGTTGAACCCTGTAGTGCGCGCGTGGCTCTAAGCGCAGCCTGCTGTAGAGGAAACGGAAGTCGGAGTTTAACCCGCGCGGATGACTGGTGACAAGTTGAAAAATCAGGCGCATCTCCAAGTGCTTCTGTTGCGCGTTTTCCCAGGAGAGCATTACGTGAACAAGATTACAGGATTGAAACATAATTTTGGTCAGGATGAGGGAGTGGAAAGCCATATTGTAGCTCCTCCTCTACGCGAAGACTGCTATTAAGTACCAGAACAGTTTCCATTTTAAAGAGAACTGACTAGACGTGCCTTGTACTTTTTTTTTTTTTTCAGATCATCTACGCCATGGGTCCTTGGGCGGTACTGTATTTTGTGTGTATTGTTCTTTTCGGAAGGTTTTATCTCATCAACCTCGTTCTCGCTGTTGTAACAGCATCTTATGAAAATGAAGTACAAACTAGCAGAATGGTAAGTAAAAAATCTTATAACACAACCTTCATAAAAACAAAGAATTGTTCCTATGGAGAAAAATCTTTTTATTATATTTAATTACCTTCTCAGACAATTACTGACAATATCCAAGTCCCTACATCGATTTATCATCTGAAACAAATCAGAGCCCCGAAAACTTAGGCTGCCACTGTGATGAAGTAGTACTTCTGCAATCTTCGACAATTTTAATAGAATGAGCGGAAACGTCCCCACACCGTCTGACATTCAGACCTCCTTTGCAGAATCTGATTAAAGTCGCTCGTAAATGTCTTAAGGGTTTTTTACAATTTTCTTAACTTTATGCCTGTTTTGTTCACCAGGAAAATGAAAATCTTCGTTTAAAACAAAAGATGGAAGGCTCCACCTTTTCCCTGGGAAGCCGCAGTGTGTTAAGCATTGTTTACGGACGCGAGCAAGACGTGGTTCTTGACGAAGCGATGCACAAAGCCATGTTTGATCAAGCGACGGTCGAAAATGATCAAAACTCCTTGACCATGCCACCGACTGAACCAATCGCGGTATTCCAAATAAAACAGGGCCAACAAGAAGATTCGGTTACCATAAAGACAACGACTAACAACAATTCTGGAGGAGAGGGCGAGAAAACTGCCAATAAAAAATGCTGTTCGTGCTGCGGGGCTGGCATTTTATTAAAGTGCGACTGCTGGCAACCATTTAGGAAAAGTGTAAAGCGAGTCGTGTCAAGTAAATTGTTTGAGGCCGGCATAATTTTTATTATTCTCATTAACACTCTTTTTATGTCGATTCAACATCATGGAATGGACGAAGATTTGGAGAGAGCAATAGATATCGTCAACTCGGTAAGTATACTAGCGTCAGTAACTATCCGGCGCATGTCCCTTTGAAGAAAATAACGACAAACTCACGGTCGCGTGCATGGAGCACAGTTTGACATTGCTCTTGGAAATCATGCATTGCGCGCGCAGCCTGCAGAGTAGTCAGTTTGATTTCCAAAAATTTACTGTAGACTCTCTCTTTACGGACACATCGGTAAAACGGACACCCAGAGCTAGTCCCTGCCTTTCGTTACTCCCTTTTTTTGACTCTCTTAGACGTCTCCGTCTAGAGAGAGTCGACTGTAGTGTTAACTCGGTCGTGATTCGTTCTAATCTGAGCTCTTCTTTCCAAAGGTTTGCACATTCATTTTTCTCCTGGAGATGATTCTCAAACTAATTGCCCTAAAGCCGCGCGGCTACATCAAGAGTCGCTGGAACATCTTCGATGGTGTTGTTGCCGTGATCAGTCTCATCGATACCGTGTTGACACTGTCCAACCTGATTGACAGCACGGGCACTAGTGTGTTCAGGTCGTTTAGACTGGTAAGTGGTGCATAATTCTAAACACAAACTTTCGTTTGTTTTTGAGGCTACACAGCACAAAGTCACAGAAGCCATTGGTGTAGAGTTTCTGCAGTTTTTTGCATTTAGCCGTGAAAAAGGAGAAATGTTTACCAGAGATGATGAGCAAATAGGCCCGTGGGGAAGGGTCTGTGTGACAAACGCAAAAGAGGAGAAAGTTCACAGTTAGCTATACGAGTATAAGTTAATTGTTAGATTATATGCTTGCCTAAAATTCAATCAAGAACTCGGGCTGTTTACTTCGACTAAAATTGGACGGCCGACAGTTTTTCTCAGTTTTCGACGCCTAGCTTGGGCTAAGGCAGTTAAACTAGCTTCCACGAGTTTTTAGCTCAAGGGGAGAGCACCTGAACAAGTAAGCACAACTGGTCGTAGGTTCGACTGTTGTCGGGAGAACTAGAATTATACTTTTTTGACTTGTCTGAGTGTCACTGGCTGAAAAAAGTATGATTCTCGTATATTCACTAAGCTTGAAATTCATCATACTTTTATATAATGGAAAATCAATTATTTTGGTCTAACGATAGGAAGTAGGAAGCTTGAGAACTACACACTTTTTCCCTCCCCAACAAATTCCCGAGGTTGCGCCTCACTGTTTTCCTTCTCTCTTCAATCAATTTTAATTGAGGACTTTTACTTTCTTATTGTTTTTCAAAGGTTCGAATTCTGAAACTCGCTAAAAACTGGAGCACCATGTCCAGTCTGTTGGCCACTATAGGACACAGCCTTGGGGCACTGGCCAACCTGTCCGTCATATTAGCCATCATAGTCTATATCTTCGCAGTGGTAGGGATGCAGTTATTTGGCTCCCAGTACACAGCGGCGAAATTTGGCGGCGAGTTTCCTCGTTGGAATTTCACGGATTTCTGGCATTCGTTTCTATTGATCTTCAGGATAATTTGTGGAGAGTGGGTAGAACCCCTGTGGGACTGCATGAGGGCTGCAGGACCTGCGTCCATTATTCTGTTCATTCCCGCCTTCGTATTGGGGCACTTCATTGTAAGTTACATAACATGAAAGACGTAATTTATTTTGCTCCATCGTCCTCTCTTGGCTGACTCATAGTGTTATGAATAGAAGTGTCTGAAATTCGAAAATAAGAGTCGGTTCGGGGCAACCTCTCCTCCACCCCCCCCCCCCCCCCCCCCCCCCCCACCACAAAAAAAACCACCAAAACACCCGGCCCTCCCCCTTTTTTCCGCTTTTTGGGGCGAGAAAAGGGCCCGCACGGGGGAGATAGTTAGGGGAGCATTCGTTAATTTATTTTTTTTTTTTTCTTTTTTTTTATTTTATTAGATCTTTGGTAGTAGACTGCAGACGAGCGCAAACACTTCATTGTAAGTTACATAACATGAAAGACGTAATTTATTTTGCTCCATCGTCCTCTCTTGGCTGACTCATAGTGTTATGAATAGAAGTGTCTGAAATTCGAAAATAAGGGTCGGTTCGGGGCAACCTCTCCTCCACCCCCCCCCCCTCCCCCACCTAAAACGGATAAGGAAAAGCGCCAGGAACCAGGTTGTCTTTCCCTTTGTTTCAGCATATGGGGGCGACAAAGAGGCCCCTACGGTGGAGATAGTTTGAGAAACCTTTCATAATTTATTTTTCGCTTTTTCCGTCGTAATAATTGCTCAAATCGTGGCGCAAGGAGCGCAGGCTACTGAAAACAATCTGGAACTGTTAGATTTTATTAAGTCAACTTTCGCCACTTACACACTAAAATTGTAGTAACTGTAAGCATCCCTCGTGTTGGTCCCTGCCTTTCTTTACTCTCTTTATTTGACTCCATATAAGACGGTCCTAAAGGTATCCGTCTTAAAGAGAGTTGACTGTACATTATTAGGGATTTTAAGACCCAACGACGCGACGGCAACGAGAACGAGAACGTCGCTTAAAAAGAGAATGTGCGTTCCCTCAGTCTTAAGAGCAATTATTCCTACCCACTTACTTTGTCAAATGTAGGCGAACCCCCTTGAAGCTGAATTTTCAAGGGACCATAGTCAAGCTCAGAAAGAGAAATAAAATTTCCTCGTTGCTTTTTTAAGTCCTCCCTAAAAGCAAAATTAGGCATTTTCACGTCGTAGTCGTGAAAAACAGGAAAGAAATGTACAAAAAAGCGTTATGCACGTGCGAAGTTGTTGTTTTGCTTATAAACCATTTGTTTTTTTACCTTCTTGTTGCCGTTCGCGTCGTTGGATCTTAAAGTCGTTATTAACTCCGCTAAAACACGTTTCAGAGCTCATGAGACGTTAGAACTGCATGCCACCGTATTTAATTTCCGTCTTTTTTTTTAGATTCTGAATCTCTTCTTGGCATTGCTGTTAAGTTCATTTGCCGGACAAGCCTCGCTCTCTTCCTCTCGGGCAAATAAAAGGTCTCGCGTCTTGTCGCGTCTTAAAAGGGTCGTGATTGCATCCAGGTTCATCAAGAGAATACGGACTAAAGTCTGGCCTAAAAAGAATGAAATTAACACTGAGGATGACAAAGAAGGTAGTTGTGATGATTCAATACAACAGGCATATTTAATATATCTTCTATTCATGATTAATTTCAAAACTACCTGCTTAGATGAGGTCGTATTATATATACGTCCTCAAACTTTTTTGTTGGGTGGCCCAAGGAAAGTGTTTTTCTTAATTTGGGTGTATGACCAAAACAAATCGACATTGCCTTCATTCTCGACTTCAGAGCTCTTCTGTAAATCGCATCGGGTCATGCGCTGCCATAGGACCCGAGGCTCTGATGACGAGATATGATTGCACCATAATTAACACCTTTCGCATCATACACTTTTAATGACAACCACTGACATTACTGTAGCGCAAACAGATTCAAAGACGGAGGAATAAAAACGCACGGATGTTTGTACTCGAACGGAAACGTTTGCTACACAGGCTACAATCCAGTCAAATAATAAAAAAAAAACACCTGTGCCTTCTACCGTAAAAATCCTCTAGGTTTTTGTGCCTAAAGTTATATTCATTGTGCTCAGGTATCTGGTTTTCAAAACAGATTTACCAAGGATAAAATTGAACTACAACATATATTTTGTCAAGCGAGGATCAAATACATACTGACGCCCTACATGGAGTTAAACTTATAGCCAAAAATTGGCTGAAATTTAAACCGTTAGCTCAGAAATTTAGGTTTTTTTGACCTGATAGCTGAGTTCTGAGAAAACGCCAAAAATCTAACACACCATTTCTAGAACCTTCATTTTAAGTCGATAATTTCATTGTACATTTCAGGCAGCAGTAGTAACGGTCATGTGATAATAAATGAACCAGCGTCAGTGAGGTCGACGGACGAGGCGAACCAACGTGACAATAACACAAGGGTTTGTTGCTGTTCCCTGAACGCCCGGGAATATGAAGTTGACAACTGTTTCCCTTCTCATTGCGGCTGCTGCGCGCGGTTTGACGACACACGCTGTCACGTGATATGGCTGTGCATACGTCACAAGGTGAAATGCCTTGTGGAACACAGATGGTTTGAATGGTTTATCGTGTTCCTCATCGCTGCAAGTAGTATTGCTTTAGTAAGTATAATTTTAGACGGGATATTTATTAACTCGCATGTCTAGTCCTCTACTATGCGTTACTTGGGTCGTCACTCGAGATAGAGGAACACTGAATGATCGACGACTCAGTTAACGGGAGATTTGCTCATGGCGTCGATTGCCGTATCGTTGCTATGATGTTCTACAAACGCCTCTAGGGTCTCAGGTGACGTTTTTGGTTAAATTTAAGGCAATTGTGAAGTGTGAAGAGTACATGGCAAAAGTAATGACCTTATTTCCATTTCATTGATTCAGTCCGTTTTGCTGTTTTTTTTCTATTATATATATTTGTGCACATACTTTTCAGGGATCAATGTTGTTATGAATTACAATTATTGAATTAGCTGTAGAACTTAATAACCTTCATTCCATTTCCATACAACCCGGTCATAACATTTACTTAATCATAGTAAGGTGATGGCAATAACGGGGCTGACAAACGCCTTCTCCCTTATTTTCCACTATTCTTCTTAGATCATACGAAGGGGCTCCCCTTAGACCTTTGAACGCAGATCCTAAGAGGAGGTACTCAATTACTTTTGAAATAACTTTCATGTATTTTCGTTTATCTTGCCAACAGGCGTTCGAGGACGTCTACCTGGACAGCAGGCCCACTCTTAAGGAGGTTTTAAGGGTATTAAACATCTTTTTCGCTGTTGTCTTCGTGCTTGAGTTTCTACTCAAACTCATCGGTCTTGGCTTCACGTCATACTTCTCGAGCGCATGGAACTGGCTTGATGTTGCAATCATTGCAGTAAGTGACGTCACTTCATGGCCAAGACGTTTCTATTTGAGAGAATTCACTTTTGATTATACCATGGTCCCGCCCACTTCTTTGTGAGTAAGGGCTACATCTAAAATGAACGTCTTAACTCGGATTTCTTTCTATAGATCTCTCATTTTTTTATTGAGAAATTTATGAATATCATTTTACAGCTCGCGATGTTTCGCAATTTTTCGATGAGGGATGAGTATCAGATAGAGGAGGGTGCTATCTGAAGTGCCTTCTTCTGATGATTATCCTGCACTATTGGCGCCATTTTCTGTATATTAAAAGCGTCTTCCAAATTTGTCAACAATAGCTGGTTATGAAGTGGAATAAGCCGGGGTATTGAGCCAGTCAGAAATGGGGAAATGTTTTGAATGAATGATAAAACTTATTAGCCTCGCACCGTAATTTTTAGACATTTCAATTGGTCAAGAGACCTTATTATGTCTATGTTTTCTGTTTTTCTTCTTGCTTTCAGGTCTCTCTTATCGCGTTATTTGGAAATGAAGATGTGATGTCTATTCGCTCTTTGCGAACACTCAGAGCTTTGCGACCCCTGAGAGCGATCTCACGATTTGAAAGAATGAGAGTAAGTTTGTGATGTCTGCATGGCCTGTTGCCTATTCTTGGTGTATAATTGATAAATTACTGTTTCAGTGAGGACAGTACAACAGAAAACTTTGGTATATCATCGGATTCAATTAGATAAATTGGCCACTTAACAAGATGTCACTGAAAACGTTTGTTTTGAGCACTAGACCTTTGGCGGAGTAAATCACGGAATTATGGTTAGCAGTTTGGAGAATCAATACCAACACGAGATGCCTTTTAAACTATTCCGGAGTGCTTTTAAAAGGCATACCATTGATATAATATATTCCGCTGTAGATGGAGGGTATCTTAAGAGAACTGCTAGTTGTTCGTTCAAACACACGCACAATGAAATCTGCTTTGAATTCTATCGTACGCGACGATAACAAGAGCACTAAACTGCGCTTGCAATATTGCATATTCTCTCCCCGTAATGTATTTAAAGTTTAGGTAAGGTTTATACGTTTTCGGTTTCCTGTCATTTTATATCTTAGAATTTGCAGATTTGACAAGTCCCTGAACTCTGAATTCAGAGTCCAGAGTCTTGTCAAACATTTAGTTCATCGGATTACCGATCAAGATCCTGGAATCTGCCGCTACTATTGCGCTTATCGATCTCTAACTGTGGTCGCTGCACAACACTTAGACACAGCTAGTATTCCGGTGCCTCCAAATTCCTATTGAAGGCAACTTCTAATAGTCTCCCTAGGCTCCTGTGTATTCGTTAACTTTGTTCCAGGGTACGACCAATAAAACCCACTCTCAGACTGTCCTTATGCTGTCTTTTAGGTGGTAATAAGCTCGCTGTTTCATGCAATACCTGGTATCGCCAATGTTCTTCTGGTTTGCGTCGTGTTCTGGTTGATATTCAGCATTATGGGAGTCAATCTTTTTGGCGGGAAATTCTTCAAGTGCGTTGATGAGCATGGTGTTAAATATGACGCAGCTGTGGTACCCAACAAAACTGCATGTCTTCAGAGAGGAGACCGCTGGATAAGATCCAACGTCAATTTTGACAATTCCTTTAATGGGTTTTTGGCACTTCTTCAAGTGGTATGTTCATATCCCCAACTTTCATTTCAAAGTGTTCTACCTACATTAATCCTTGGTTTTTTTTCGGGTATCTGTGTACTTATACCGCCAATGCATGTCATATTTTAAAATGTAGGCTACTTTCGAAGGATGGATGGAAGTTATGGAGGACGCCATTGATGCTACAAAGGTAAAGCAGGAGGGTTTTTTGCGTTACCGGTTTGGGGGGCTTATCCATGGAGGGGCTTATTTTCGGAATTTTACGGTATTTGAATGTTTTCAAGGAAATGTTATCTGCTGTGCTTCTTATGATCAGTTATAAGTGTCAATAGGAGATGTTGTTACAAGTTGTTGTTGTTGTTGTTGCTGCTGTCTTTTATTTATTCCTATTTAATCGCTCAGTGTTTGTATTTGTTCTTAGGTGGACCAGCAACCGATAAAGGAAAACAACTTGGCCGCCTATATGTACTTCATTGTATTCATTATTTCCGGATCATTTTTTGTGTTAAATCTGTTCATCGGCGTTATCATTGACAACTTCAACCACCTCAAACAACAGGTCAGAAGATTAAAAACGATTCACGGCTCTATAGAACTAGTTAATGATGTACTTGAAATTTATCGTTTATTGTTCCAAAGCCGTGAAGGAGCGAGTAATGACGATCGGCTTTTAACTCTTTCAATCGTAATCCGAGCGCGCAAGGTCAAATAAAATAAGGCAACACAGCTGCAAAATGAATCCAGCGTCTTGAAAGGAAAAGAAGAGTGTCAGTGGGGTTCTGTTCACGGAGCAGTCACACTACAGGGTTTCATCCACAGACTCGAAAGTCAGAACCAAACTGCAAATAGTACCTTGTGAAAGTACTACTGAAAAGCTTTCAGTTGATGGTCACTCCATAGGATTTCGTTCACAGACTTAAAACTAAGTATAAAGCAAATAGTTCAATGTGATTGTACCGCTGAAGACTCAAACTTTTATGTCTCCATTGTCTGACACGGATCAGTTTAAGATTCTAGGGGACTACGTACTAACCTACCCTTTTTCTAATTCAACGTGTAAACTCCAGGGCTAAAAGTATAAGAGTAAGATTAAGACGAATTAAATTTTCGCAAGGCTTCCTTTAATAGATTCACTGAGCTCAATGTCATTGATGAAGTCAACCGATGGGCATTGTGTTTTGAATTTTCCCACAGATGGAAGTGTATGGCTCTATGCACATTTTTCTCACCCCAAAACAGAGAAGTTGGATGAACGCTCTGAAAAATGCAGCAGCAAAAAAACCCAAAAAGAAGGTGGAAAGGCCAACGGTAAGAGTGTTAGTAGACATGACCGCAAAAGGGAGTCAAATGAGTTAAGCTCACAGAAAACTAGAAGGAATTAAAAGCAGTTATTTCAGTCCTGCAAAAAAAGTGAATGTTGTTAATGCAAGCGGGCTAATCTTAGTCCACTTGGAAGGAGCATGGATAATGCGTCTTAAAATTCATAGCCTGCGTGGGACTTTATCGGGTTTAAATCTTTCATCCAACGAATCCTTTTGTGGTCAATGGTTGTAATTTAGGCTGTTAAGCCGCGAGAAGTATGGGGACGAGTTTTAAAATTGGGATTTTCCCTTGCAGCTTCTCCCCACCGCCCGCCCCGCGATTCTCCCCACCTCGAGTGGGGAGAATTGCGGGCGCATCCAAAACCCCAAGTCTGGAGACAGCCTATTGCAGCTTTGACGCTTGCAAAAATCCTTTGCGGCTTCCCACTAGCGACAAGCGGCAAATCAGCCGCAAAACGCTACCGGGGGGCACTCCTGGGAATTCTTTGTGGGGTTGTACAGCCCGGTTCTCCAAAACATGACCCTATTTAGACCAAAAAATGTCATTTTCACACCCGTTTTCAGACCGGGCCTCTAAAATTCATTCCCGTTTTCAGACTTCGCTTCGAAACTCGTGAGGTCGACTTGTGGCATATTTCTCTTTCTTTCTTATTCATTTGGAATTGAAACGATAAATACGTTCATACACTCCCGCAGTTCTTTCGAAAACCACACCCGATTCCAGACCAAAATGAACAAAGTCTATACCCGTTTTCAGACCTTTGGGGCGGCACATACCTCATGGCTTGTATAAGGGAGTACCCCTCCCAGTAAAAAGCTTTTACCCTTCTATGATCCCATCTGCTTCAGAGGACACAAATCCTACATCAAACTTGAATTTGCATCATTTTTTCCATTTTGATATCTTTCAGAATCGTTACCAAGCGGTGGTATTTGACTTGGTTGAAAATCGCAAGTTTGAAATGTTTATAATCTCCGTGATTACAATCAACATGTTAGTGATGATGGCACAGCATTATGGGCAACCACCAGTGGTGGATGTAGTGCTCGATATCCTTTTATAAGTTGTCTATTCAGAAATAACCCGGAGGAGTCCGCTGGGAGAGGGATTCCCCGATACCGTAAACGTTCCCCGTATAAGCCCCCCCCCCCCCCCCTCAGTTAAAAGTCCACTGCCGGGGTGATATGGTTGTGCGCATACATAAGGTACTGGCCATACCACGGAGTTGGTACGTGTGCTTCTGTGCTTAAATTGCTAAAGGCTTATCTACCTCTAAACAAAAAGAACAAATTCGGTCATAAGCCCCACCCTAGCTTGTATTAAAATGAATTCGATTTTTTAAGACGTTTTGGAACTAAAAAAAGGGAGTAAATTCATAACGCAATTTGATCAACACTGCTATGTAGCTCGTTTTGAAACGCTTTCTTTTAAGTCTGGTTATAAGCCTCCCCCCCCCCGGATATAAGCCCCTCAGTAGTGTTTTATGTTGAATTTACTTTATTTTCTCTAGGATATAATAATTGGTGATGTCATGGACGAATAACTCGACCCTTACTCGACATCAACAAGGAGTAAATGCAACATTTAACACTACTCCCCTCCGTTTATAAGCCCTGCCAAAACCCCTTACCAAGCTGTATAAGCCCAGGGCTTTTAAGCGGAAGCTTACGGTATGTCGTTCAAATAAACAGGTGCCGCAGGACAGTATATTTGCAGTCGCGAATGAGGGGACAGCATATTCTGAATGCCGTCTCGTTCCCAGTCCCCAGCTCTTTGTTATCAAGAGTGATAAACGCCTGGAGAAAGTAATCACTATTAGTAAAATCCAACTAGTGGTCTATTATCAATGGTGCGTTCTGATTGGTTGAGCTACTATTAGGCTATATGTTATAGCCCACTAGTAGCGAAAAGCGCGGGCTTTTTGGCGGCAAAAAGGGATTTAAGTCTAGGTTTAACTAGCTAAAATTTTTTTATTCTCGATATTTTTTACCAACTAGTTGGATTTTACTAAAACAATTATTCCTTTCGCCCTCATGGCCTCTGACTCAATAGCCCATTCGGGCTCGAGGAATAATTGTTAAATACTTACAGTAGCATAAGGCCTCAATCATTACATCACCTGAAATAAACTTTTAATTGCATACCAGAATGGAGTAGTATTACTGAAAAAAAAAGGCTCTTAGGTTCGTGTTTTAAACAGAAAGGGTTATTTGTTAATTTTTTTTACTTCCAACACTACGTTCTATTTCTCCTTAACGAGAGACCGCTCTGTTCGTCCATCACAATACTTCAACATCGTATTTACCTGCATATTCATCATCGAGGCGATATTGAGGATTTTCGCCCTGAGATTAGGATATTTTATGCATTCTTGGAATGTGTTTGACTTCGTTATTGTAGTTTTGTCTATAATAGGTGAGTAAACACTTTGTAGATAATATGTCGTCATCATGATCTTCAAATGATATTTGTGACAAATAGACGTTAACTGGTCTTAACTGAGCTTTGCTAGGATTCGTAGTGGTGCCTTCCTACATAGCTTAAATTGCCAATAAGTACCCCAAAATACAAGAACCTGTTTTGCCAGACCTGAAAAAAAAATGCAGGTTTTCAGTAGCGGGTGTTTACTGTATTGTTCTATCATACGGTACATGAGGTAGTTGTCTAAACAAGTGCCATAAGATTCAGTGTCGTCAAAATTCGTTTTCTGAACAACGCGGTTTGAAAACAAACACTTCAAAGTGTAGCAATCCTTCATGGCTGTTGCCGCACCACTGGGCAAGAATTACGAACCAGCGAAAGGGACAAGCGGACAAGCGGGGAAGGAAGTAGTTTCTTTTCTACTTGCTCGCTGTGTTTAGTCTATAGTCTTTCCTGACAACTTTCCCAGCTCTCAACTATAACCGAAAAAGGCACTGAGAGCAGTCCAGGCAACTCTGTACAAATCTCGTTCAGAGATAGTATAATTCCTTTATGCATTCTGCAATTTTTGTTTGAAATTCTTTGCAATAATGTGTATCTTTTGTTGTTTTGCAGGAATCGTGATAGAAAGCCTAAACAGAACAGGAATTATAATCACGCCAAATCTACTCCGCGTCGTTCGAGTTTTCCGCATCGGCAGACTCTTGCGCTTCTTCCAGAAAGCTAAAGGAATACAAAGACTGATTTTCTCGCTTCTCATTTCCTTGTCAGCGCTGTTTAATGTTGGAGCCATACTTTTTCTCATTATGTTTATATACGCTATCATAGGAATGTCCTTCTTTGGGTACGTGAAGAAGACAGGCGCATTGAACGATGTCGTGAATTTTGAAACGTTTTTGAACTCTATGCTTCTGATCTTCCGTTTAATGACCGCCGCGGGATGGAACGATGTTTTAGATCCCTTGATGATCGAGCCGCCTGATTGTGATCCAGATTACAAGGATTTGTCGAACGGAAATTGTGGAAACTACTGGGCTGCGGTCATCTATTTTTACAGTTTTATAATAATTATTTTTCTAGTACTCATCAACATGTATGTCGCGGTAATTCTGGAAAATTACAACAACGTGATCGAGCAAGAAAAGGTTGGAATAACAGAAGACGACATCGATTTGTTTTATGAACACTGGATTTTATATGACCCTGATAGCACTCAATATATATATTATGGCGATCTATCAGACTTTCTCCACACGTTGGAGGGGAACCTGGGTATTAAGAAACCAAACAAGGCCGCATGCGCGCTGCTAAATATACCGCTGTACGAAGACGACAAGATTTACTGTCTGCACTTGCTACAGGCCTTGGTGCGTAAGGTGGTCAGCGGCTACGAGGAGTTTGATTCTGATGAATTCAAAGTGGTGTTAAAAAGGATGGAAGAGAAATTTCGAGCTGTGTTTCCCTCTGTAACACACTACCGTCAAACGAATACCACACTGGTTAAGATCCGCCAGATCAGGGCAGCTCAAGTAATCACGCGCGCCGTTAGAAGGTATCGCGTAAGAAAACAAAGAGAGGCGCTGGGTTTGAGTCAAGGAAGTGGGGAAAAGTTAAGGGTAGTGGCAAAGGAAAACCACGCATTTGACGGGAAGACCGCGATTCGCAGGGGAAAAATGGGGAGCCGCATCGCCGACATGTTGGTCCATGGAAATTATACCCTCAGTGATTCTTTACCTAATTTGAACAGAACGGTTGATAATAAAGAAAAAAGAGGTTCACTGGGTCAAATTATGGGGATCAGCCATGGAAGTACAGAAACTATAAGAACCTTAAATCGTAGTCTGAAAGAACCAGGAAAACACGCAGTTAACAGTGGAAAGAGCAGAAGTCATTTAGACGTTGTACATGACAAGAGCTTGAGCGATTCAGTTCCAAATTTGTCTAAAAGAGGCCACGAAAAGGACAAACTAGCTCTCCAGGCTTGGAAAAGAGAAGCTATTCCAAGGACACCAACTTTGAATAGACCGCTAGTCCACGATCGGCTAGCTGTCCTACGACAACAAAAACCAAGGTCTGCTCCCCTCAAGAAAATTAAAATCTTAGAACAACCTAAAATCCATCAGGCGGATCCTTGACAAGCCAAACAGAAGTTAAATTCTGTTTTGTTTAGGAAGATGTAATGAATTTAAGACCTTTTTAAAAAAAGTTCTCTGGAAATTAATTTAAGAAAGTGCAGTGACAATTTTTTTTTGTTGAGTGAAGATAATTATACTTTTTGATAGTAAAAAATTTCAAAACGAATGTAGTTCAATATTATCATATTCTAACATAGACAATTTTCTAAAGAATCTATTTTTTTAAGTTATAACTTCATATTTTTTCAGTCATTACTTATTGTTGCAGCAACGTTCAATTTCAATTTGATTTATTTTTGGAAGGTTATTTACTTATGTGTGGACGTGTTATGAAATTTCCAAAAGCCGTTAGCATGTTTACGTCGTGATAGTCCAATTTCCTACTATACCCCGTTTTTGAAACAGAAATACTCATTTATTTTTATCGATTTACTTAGTTTCGCCAGATTCTTGGCAGGGCGATCCGCGCAACAGCCGGTGTGGCGCCACTAGGCGGGCCCGTAACAGTCCCTGGTGATTTACTATTGTAAAACTTGCTGAGTTTGTATTCCAAACCAAGGTTTTAGCTCAATTAAGCTACTACGACGTAAACATGCAGAAGCGCTACATCGACTAAAATAAATAAATTCGGTAATACCAAAATATGAACCTTGTAGATTTTCTCTATTTGTTTATGGCGTAGAAAAGGTAAAGAGTCCTTATTTTACTTTGGTAGCTCGAAATAGTTATCTGACTAACAAACCTGAGGCCGACGGTGCGCTTATCTCCCGATCAGGAGGCCGTGCACGATCCAACTGCGCTAATCATTCCTACGCGTGGTAGAGAAGAAAACAAAAGACAGCACTAAGAAACCGCCCTGGGGATACTCCTGGGAATTCTTGGTGGGGATGTGCCGCCCGGTTCTCCAAATCCTGACACTATTTCAGACCAAAAAATGTGATTTTTCACATTTAGCCTCAAAAAAATCCATACCCACTCTCAGACCTAGCCTAAGAAATTATGTCATCATTATTTGGATTAGAGCAGCAACAAAAAAGATTTCTCAAAATCCATTGCGAATTCGCATATTGCTCTTTCTTTCTTACTCATTTGGAATTGAAACAATGAATAGTTCATACACTCCCGTAGTTCCCTTAAAAACCATATCCGATTCCAGACCAAAATGTCTATACCCGTTTGCAAACCAAAATGGCGCAAAGACCCTACCCTTTGGAAAACCGGCACATACCTTCATGGCTTATATAGGGGAGTACCCCCCCCCCCCCCCGGGGAACCCCCCCTTTTTTGGGCCCCCCCCCGGAAGGGGGCCCTTTTTTTTTTTAAAAAAAAAAAAAAAAAAATTTTTAAAAAAAATTTCCCAAAAAACAAAAAATCAAACACCATCAAACCTCTTGTATACACAGGGGGGCCCCCCCCCCCCCCCCCCGGGGTAACCGCCATTCTTAGGGCACCGACTTGGAATGGTGTCCTATATTTTCAGATAACAAAAACAGAAAATATTTTTAAAGACTTGCTGCCATAAAACATAATCCGTCACCCGTACTCAACTCTATGCAAGACTCTGTACATTGGCATGGGAAAGCAAGCTGCACTATAATCAACTTGAACCTACTACCACCAGTAACTAGTCTCCAAGTTGAGTTCTGTTTAATCCTTGTTAGTATTCATCATCGGGCGGTCTGGGAAAGCCGTTCTGTTCAATTCAAGATCAAAATTTGAATAGGTTCCTAGGTAATGTGATCAAGTTATCATTTAACAAAACAAAATGGACTGGTTTGTTACATATAGGACCAACCTTTTCGTTCTTTAAACTTTTGTTTGAATATTGGATTTCGGGCCCAAAAAGTTACCTAGACTTTCGAGAAACGCGCCGCAGGCCCCTCTATCGTGAAAAACAGAGAGCAGAGCATCATGGGAAGAATGCAAAGCGCGCGCTTGCAAAGGCGAGAGCTTTTTGAGCCGTGCGTGGTCAAATTAAAAATTGCCGCACAATGATGTTGCCTTTTCAGTTTTAAATCAGAATTAAAATCCTGCTTGGTTTGCAATTATTGGTTTTACAAGACATTTAGTTTTCAAGCAAGCAGTAATTGTTCTTAATATTCTTAACTAGACCTTTGATGTCACAAACTAATTATCGTACGTTTATTATAATTGCGCCAGTACGCAAGCTGACAAAAATGAAAAAACACCAGGAAATCCTAGAAAAGCAGCTTTAGCTTTAGTCGCTGCGGAAAATGAGAGGAGTTTCAGAAACTGCAGTTGTGTTTTTGTTCTCCATTTTCACTTTTGGCCTGGTTTATGGAAATCATGTATCTGGGAGGATAGAAGGGGACCAAAAGTTTATGGCTCTTGTTTCCAAATTTTGGTTTGCTGACGATGTGGGACGGCTAGATTTTAAAGTGAAATACTCCACAACGAGCAATTGCTGTCCAAGCCTAGCATATTACAACGACAAATTTAACGACTGGGAATCTGTTAACCAAAACAGCGACATGGTCTGCCAGTCTAAGTTAAGCTACGCACAGGGAATGTTCTCATTTCAAAATGCTACAATAGGAAATGACAACTCAACTGATCGAAGCTATTCAGTCCAATGCCACACCAACGGCGACAGTTATCTTCAGTTTTGCTCGGGGACATTTCGGGCTGACTCGGTAGATAATGGATGGTGGTCCTTTGTCCTTAGTCACTGCAATAGCACTCGAGGACTGAACATTTCTTACGAGTTCAACTTTACAGATGGGTATTTTTGGAATGCAGATACATCGACCAGGAGAGTACGAGACATCTTTGATAGCCACCTTATATCACTTGGCGGCTATTTAGTTTTGTATATAGCTTCGTTTTACTTCGCTAGACATCTTCATCGAAGAGGCATGTTACACCCAGCCTTCAAACTCTTCATGACAACTCTTGGATTCAAGACAGGCGCTGTTCTATTTGACTTTATTTTCCACACTAACTACGTTCTGTCTGGATTAGAACTTTCTGTATTTACTATCAGTGAGGTACTCCACGCGACAAGTGAAATTATTCTTATTGTCTTGTTAATTCTGCTAGTTTTCGGCTGGACAATCACCAAAGCTAGTCTTAACGAAAGTATACAAACCAAACTCAAAATGTTTTTCTCGAGTTACACCTTAATCTTTGGCATTCTGTTTGTTCTTGAGCAGCGGCTATTCGTTCCTCAAGTTCTTCAAATTGCACGTCTGGGAAACGCAATGTTAAGATCGTTAGCATGGGTATTGTTTGTCTATGGTACTTATTCTACAATCCGAGAAAACCCAGCAAAGCAACAATTCTTTTTGTCTCTTATGGTATTCTTTTCTGTTTGGTTTCTTACAAAACCGGTCGCTTCTCTAGTATCCGCTTTCTCTTCTGAGGGATGGCTAATCGCACTGAGATTCCATCGTCTGGAACCTATCCTTTGCTTTATTGGCTTCGGTTGTCTTCTTAGCATTATGGGGCCCAAACACTTTCCTTTTCATGCTCGCACCAATGGAGTAGGCCCACCTCAGGTGCAAAATCCGCCGGTCACATTTAATGAGACCACAGGATGGAATGAAGGTAACCGGACATTTGGAACCCAACCAACTTACTAAACAGAAGAAAAATGAGATATAAGAGAACTTGAGGAATACTTTGGTTATTACTAACGTTATAATCACACTAAAAAAACTCCTAGTACTGAGATGTAGACCACTGA